ATCCAGCTTATTTCTGTTCAGTTTTGTAGCCTTATCCACCAGCATGTTTCATGATATTTATCTTGGAGAAGACAGGCCAAATATGCTTAAGTATTCTCAGTTAAGAATCATTATGTTTTAAAGGAATGATTGCTCTAACGTCCTTACTCAGGCAAGTTCCTTTTGTGTGTGAGTCACTGTGGAAATGGTAGTTTTGCAAAATGCAGTTAGTGCTTAATAGGTACATGACAAAGAATCTGGGGCAAAGTCCTTTGATTCTAGAGTGTGAGCATCTTGTCGCTGCAGAAGAAATAGGAGGTGCTAGAAGGCACTAATTGCAGCTGTGTTTATTTTAGTCCAGTTTTCTTTCAGCAAACCTGGACAAATTTTAACCACCATCCCTTTATTCTTGTGGATTAACATAGGATTATTATTTTTTATACAATCGATCCTTTCTCGTCTACCAGCTTCTTTGGGGAAGCAGAGTTTAGGGGTGATCCTACCTCTCATCAACTCTTGGTACTTTGTCTATTCTCCAATCAATTTCAGAATGTATAGAGCATTTTATTATAAAACCAACCCTCACTAGTGTTGATTTTCCATTCTTATAGATGAAACATGGATTTTCCCTGAACACATCCCAGTGTGAAAGTTATAGTACCACACCTTATACTAAATTGAGGATTAAAACTGTGGCTGTCCAAAATATTATCCTAAATTAATTTAGGGAAAAATGGTGTCAGGAGAACAGGTTGGAGCATGTGTCATATGTTCCATGACTGAGGTACATTCACACCGATAGGATATTACTGTGAAAATCTAATCCCTGAAAGTGGAATATTATTGTATGGACTTTTAAACATGCATCCTAGATTGAAAATGCCTCTAATGAGCAGAAATGAACCTGTGACTATCATGAGATAATTTTTTTCAAAGAACATGAGCCATCTGTTTTCCAGGTGTGCTACTGCCGAATCTCCAGATGGAGAGCAAGATCCTCCAAAATCGCTGGCCAGTTTATGGGTCAACCGATGCCTCTTTCCACTCTTCTGACTGTCCAAAAGCAGCTTCTCATTTTTGCTGCGCAATAAGAAAAAGAAGGCTGTATTTCTGTAGTTCTACTTCTTCCAACTCCTCCCAGCTGCCATTGTTTAGCTGTTCTTTATCATACAACAGGAAAGCAGCCGTGGGGTGTGGGGGGGAGGGGACCAGCTCTTAAATGAGGCAGTTCAGATAAACAGTTGTGCTGGGGTACAATTAGGCTGTCATGCTATTTGGCCATCCTCTTCCTGGATGCTACTAATGCTGAGGAACCTAAGTCTATGATTTTTTAAAATTATTTTTATTTTTCTAAAAAAATTATTCATACACAATTAACAAAACAATCTTTCAACTTAAAAAAAAATCTTACAACAGCTAGAAAAGAGGTAATCCCAAACAAATTAAAAATACAAATTAATAGAGAAAAGAAAAAGAGAGGGAAAAAATCTACCTTATATTTCATACTTATGAACCTAAGTCTATCATGCAACAACCATCAACAATCCCAACTTCATGAATTTGTATTTTGAAGCATCCAGAAGTGGCCATCCCTATACCATGTTGAAGCAAATTCCAGAAGTTAGAGATGAGCTCAATAAAGGATTGGTTCCTTTTACAGCATTTCCTTCCATTCTTGTCCTGCAACAACTTTACATTACAGTATACCATGGTGCTGAGCAAAAGGCCTTGTCTCAGTTGTTACATAATACTTCTATTCCTTAGATGACAAGGGGCTTTCCAGTGAGAATGTCCCCACCACACTTCCCCCAGCGTAACGCAACCATCTGCTCAAAAACATACTCAAGAAACTTATCTCTAAAATGGAATGAAAGGCACGCGTTTCAGAGTTTGTGGCATTCACCATAATATCTTCAGCTTTCAAAGCTCTGCAAGTCCAAATTGAATCTGTAGGCTAAGACTGGAAAGGATGTGAGGCTGATAATCATCCTTTGTTAACTTGGCAGAAACTTGACTTGAGCGAGAGTGCTTTTCAAGCCTTTTTCATTCCTTGGTCCTTTCAGGAGATTGTGTACATATCTATTTATTTCTAGCATCATTGGAGCTGCAAAGGCCCTTCCTGTACAGATTCCACTCAATTTGCTGAGCAGAGGGCAAAGCAATTTGCAGCACACTTATCTAAACATTTCAAAGTTTGCTTTGTCGCACTACAGAGTGAAGCACTGCAGCCTGGCAAAAGGCAATTAATCTGAAAGATGATTTTCTGTGTTTGCTGTTTTAAAAAATACACAAGAAAGATACCCTAAACAAGCATAGCTGTGTGCTATAGGTTCTTTTCTTATTACATTTTGCCCAGTTGTTAGAAAGAGAGACATGGGGAGGGAAGAGAATCCAAAGACTGTTAAGAGCAGTACAATGGATTTGTCAGAAGCAGAAGTTAAGGTAGTAGAGCTGTTTTATGGGCCATAGTTTAAATTGTTAAGATAATAAGTGAAAGCTTGTGTTTATGTTTTAACAATCCCATGGTTCTGATAAACTAATGTGAACAATCCTCTTCAGAAAGACTCATAAGAATAGCCTTGCTGGATCACACCAAGGCCCTATTTGCACATAGCATTTAAGCTGCACCTGGCTCTAAGTTGACTTAGGAGAATCCTGTTGGGCTGTGACACTTTGGCAACAGCTTGCAAGTTATTCAGTCCAAGCTGCAGCTACCGTGTCCTCCCACCAGACAATTCCCCTGTTGCGGTACTCTCCTGTTTTTCTCTGCAAGGAAAGCAGTGACCAATGATCTTCCTGGAGATCTATGTACACAGAGAGAGAGACACACACAAAATTTAATTTAATCTAATCTACAGAAAGTTAAGTTGAATGTGTCTTATAAGATTAAAGCTTCAAAACGCACATACACGGAGGCACAGCCCAAAGCTTTAAAAATCCTTTCTTACCACTATATTTGTTCTCAAGTGTTTTTTGACACACATTAATCCTAAGTATTACAACAGTAAATCAGTTAAGCTCTAGCCTTGTAATATAGATTTTTTAGTTTGAATCCCAGCAGGAACTTTTTTTAAAATTGTTTTTCTTTCCAAGCTTCCTCCTCACTTTATTTCACCCATTTCATTTCACCCATTTTCTAGTCACCTGGGGTAGAAGACTTTCATTCCAGCCCCCAAACAGCCCATAGGAAATTTACGATGAGAAAAAGGAGACAAATGCATTAGTGGATAGCATCTATTATTACTTGGCGCTTTTAAAATTCTGCTTTAACCAAAATATATCTGGGTACTATTTTGTGCTATTTCCTTGCTTCCTCGGCAACCTTTTTTGTGCCCCTTAAATCTGTTTTTGGGAAACAGCTGGCTGATTTTGAGCAAGATTAAGGACATGCACAAGGAGAAGTTCGCTCATTTAATAGTGGATGGAGCTGCTCAAAAGAAAAATAGGAATCTCCTGAAGTACCATTGATTTCTCTTGACCTGCCAGGATTTTTTTTTGCCCCTCTCATCAGAAAGGAATGAGCAGATATTGTAAATAGTCTAATCTTCATCTGAATATTCTGCTGAAACAGCAAGAATGTCAGAAACCTAAACCACCCATCAGATACAGTTGGCAGTAATAAAAGAAATGGAAAAATAACCTATTACAGGAGAGAATGAAGCAAAATCAATGCCTTTAGCCTTACTTATTTTTTGTCTTTAGCCCCACCACCTTTTGACTCTGGCTCCCTTTTGGTCTGTGCCCAGCCACTAACCATCTTCCACCAGCAATTTGAAAAATTGCCTGGGCCTTGCTGGGAGTGATGTGGAGGGATGATCTCTACTAGTGGAATATTTTAGGACATCAGTTTTCTGTGGGTTTGAGTGCCAGGAGATGACAGGATTAGCCATCTTGCTTGCAACCATGGCAGAGACTTTTAAAGGATACTAAGTTCGCCAAACCTCACTTTTTAATCAATTTCATAAATTGCTCATTAACTACCTCTAAGCTATTAGAAACCTTCAGAAAGACAAGTCTGAAAATGCCAGGTGAGTTTGCCTTCAATCCTGAACAAAAGAAAATTTTAATCATAAGCTTAAGAATTTAAAGAATCTAAAATAAACAGCAGAAAGCTAAATAAGATTTTGATTTTAGAAAGTTATAAATGGACTAAGGGCCCAGATAAAATTGGAATATCCAAATCTTTACAATAAGATTTTAGAATTAATTATAAAGAACAAACAGCTTCTTGTGGGAAATAGATCCTGTTTTGGTTTTTACAAGACATAACAAAGATAACCTATTTCATGATTTCAAAAACTGGACACTAGAGGGGACTAAAGATTTTAGGTAGAGGAAAGAT